AGATTTTAATCTCCCTCATGTAAAATGGAAGATGGCGCAACGTAATGTTATACCAGAAATATCCCCGGGAAGCACCCTGGCTCAACAGGTACATACCAGGGAAATAATGAGGTTTTGTGAAAAGTACTCTTTAAACCAACAGGTAATTGATCCCACTAGAAATGAAAATACCTTGGATTTTATATTCACAAACAATGAGGAACTGATCAGAGACATAACAGTTTCCAAAACTATTTACTCTGATCATAACATCATAGAGGTTCAAACTAGTATTAACTCAGGGGTAGGAAACTGCATCGCTAAAGTTAGAGACGGGATGTTCAGTACGTTTAATTTTAACAACCATAGAATTAACTGGGAAAAAATAAACCAAGAGCTATCAGACATACCCTGGGAATCAGACATGAGCGACCTAAATCCCCACCAGTGCCTAGAGAAGCTGAATACAGAAGCATACAAAGTATGTATGAAACATGTACCATTGAGGAAACCCAGAGGATGTTCAGATATAGAGAGAGAGCGTAGGAGATGATACAGAAGAAGAAAACGGGTTACTGAACTGCTTAAAAACACAAATATGCTACAACAGAGGAAAGATAGACTTAGCAGAGAGATCACTGAATTAGAGCAAAAACTTAGGATGTCATACCTCACAGAAGAAGTACAAAGGGAACAAAAGGCCATACAGGATATTGCAAAAAACCCAAAATATTTCTATTCCTATGCAGAATCCAAGCTAAGAACTACCTGTTGAATTGAACCACTACTGAAAGGAGACTCGTATACAGATGATGAACAGGAAATGTGTGAAATCCTAAAAGAACAGTATGAGTCGGTGTTCAGCAACCCACTAAATGACAGCAAGGTAGAAAATGGAGAAACATTTTTTCACTCCAGAAGGAGGTCACAGACCAACTAACTGACATTAGTACAAATCCCATAGATTTCGAAAAAGACATGGAAAACATGCCCACTCACTCAGCACCTGGACCAGATTCATGGAATGCTCTATTTATAAAGAAGTGCAAAGTACCACTAGCACGAGCCCTCAGTATTCTTTGGAGAAAGAGCTTAGATCTGGGTGAAATACCGGAGGCCTTAAAGAGTGCAGACATAGCTCCGTTGCACAAGGGAGGTAGTAGAGCACTAGGTAAAAATTACAGACCAGTAGCCCTAACCTCTCACATCATAAAAATCTTCGAAAGAGTGATGAGACGGCAGGTTACAAATTTCATGGACCAGCACAACCAACATAACCCGAACCAGCATGGTTTTAGAGCAGGACGATCATGTCTGTCACAGCTGCTGAACCATTATGACAGAATTACGGAGGCACTGGAAGACGACCAAAACGAAGATGTGATTTACACAGATTTTGCAAAGGCGTTTGACAAATGTGATCATGGAGTGATAGCGCACAAAATGAAGGCCTTGGGCATTATGAGGAAGGTAGGCAGATGGATTTTCGGTTTCCTAACACACAGAACACAAAAAGTAGTAGTGAACAGGGCAAGATCCAGCATCAGCGAGGTCAAAAGCTCAGTGCCCCAAGGCACTGTCCTGGCACCTCTGCTGTTCCTCATCCTCATAGCAGACATAGATAAAAACACCCAGCACACTTTTGTATCATCATTTACAGATGACACTAAAATAAGGAAGACATAAACAGGGTTTTCCAGTGAGCAGTGGAAAACAACATGACATTCAATGGTGGTAAGTTCCAGCTGCTTAGGTATGGAAAGAATGAAGAACTCAAAAGGAGCACTATATACAAAGCTCAAGAGGGTCACCAAATAGAACGTAAGGAACACGTAAAAGACCTAGGAATGATTATGTCAGCAGACCTTTCTTTTAAAGACCATAACAAGACAAAGTTCATGACAGCCAGGAAGATGACTGGGTGGGTATTGAGAACTTTCAAAACAAAGGAAACAATGCCGACTGTGACACTCTTCAAAGCGCTAGTGCTCCCTCACTTAGAACATTGCTCAGTGCTGACGGCCCCGTTCAGGGCAGGAGAATATCGGATCTGGAACAAATACAGAGATCGTTTATGGCTCACATTGAGCCAGTAAAGCACCTAAACTACTGGGAACGCATGCAAGTCTTGAACATGTACTCATTGGAGCGGAGGAGAGAGGTACATGATAATATTTAACTGGAAGGTACTCAAGGGCTTCGACCCAAATCTGCACACTGCCATAACAACATACTGGAGTGAGAGATACAGGAGGAAGTGTAAAATAAACCCAGTGAAGAGCAGGGGTGCGGTGGGGACAGTAAGGGAACACTGTATCAACTATCCTCATAAAAACTCTTCACTGCTTTCAGTAACCTACCTCCTACACCATACACCTGTAACATCTGCCACATTGCCCCCCTATCCACCCTGTCATACACCTTTTACAAATCCATAAATGCCACAAAGACCTCTTTAGCCTTATCTAAATACTGTTCACTTACATGTTTCACTGTAAACACCTGGTCCACACACCCCCTACCTTTCCTAAAGCCTCCTTGTTCATCTGCTATCCTATTCTCCGTCTTTCTCTTAATTCTTTCAGTAATAACTCTACCATACACTTTACCAGGTATACTCAACAGACTTATCCCCCTATAATTTTTGCACTCTCTTTTGTCCCCTTTGCCTTTATACAAAGGAACTATGCATGCTCTCTGCCAATCCCTAGGTACCTTACCCTCTTCCATACATTTATTAAATAATTGCACCAACCACTCCAAAACTATATCCCCACCTGCTTTTTACATTTCTATCTTTATCCCTTCAATCCCGGCTGCCTTACCCCCTTTCATTTTACCTACTGCCTCACGAACTTCCCCCACTCTCACAACTGGCTCTTCCTCACTCCTACAAGATGTTATTCCTCCTTGCCCTATACACAAAATCACAGCTTCCCTATCTTCATCAACATTTAACAATTCCTCAAAATATTCCCTCCATCTTCCCAATACCTCTAACTCTCCATTTAATAACTCTCCTCTCCTATTTTAACTAACAAATTCATTTGTTCTCTAGGCTTCCTTAACTTGTTAATCTCACTCCAAAACTTTTTCATATTTTCAACAAAATCTGTTGATAACATCTCACCCACTCTCTCATTTGTTCTCTTTTTACATTGCTTCACCACTCTCTTTAAACCCCTCTTTTCTCCATATAAATCTTCCCTCCTTGCATCACTTCTACTTTGTAAAAACTTCTCATATGCTAACTTTTTCTCCCTTACTACTCTCTTTTCATCATCATTCCACCAATCGTCCTCTTCCCTCCTGCACCCTCTTTCCTGTAACCACAAACTTCTGCCCGAACACTCTAACACTACATTTTTAAACCTACCCCATACCTCTTCGACCCCATTGCCTATGCTCTCATTAGCCCACCTATCCTCCTATAGCTGTTTATATCTTACCCTAACTGCCTCCTCTTTTAGTTTATAAACCTTCACCTCTCTCTTCCCTGATGCTTCTATTCTCCTTGTATCCCATCTACCTTTTACTCTCAGTGTAGCTACAACTAGAAAGTGATCTGATATATCTGTGGCCCCTCTATAAACATGTACATCCTGAAGTCTACTCAACAGTCTTTTATCTACCAATACATAATCCAACAAACTACTGTCATTTCGCCCTACATCATATCTTGTATACTTATTTATTCTCTTTTTTTTTAAATATGTATTACCTATAACTAAACCCCTTTCTATACAAAGTTCAATTAAAGGGCTCCCATTGTCATTTACACCTGGCACCCCAAACTTACCTACCACACCCTCTCTAAAAGTTTCTCCTACTTTAGCATTCAGGCCCCCTACCACAATTACTCTCTCACTTGGTTCAAAGGCTCCTATACATTCACTTAACATCTCCCAAAATCTCTCTCCTCTACATTCCTCTCTTCTCCAGGTGCATACACGCTTATTATGACCCACTTTTCGCATCCAACCTTTACTTTAATCCACATAATTCTTGAATTTACACATTCATATTCTCTTTTCTCCTTCCATAACTGATCCTTCAACATTACTGCTACCCCTTCCTTTGCTCTAACTCTCTCAGATACTCCAGATTTAATACCATTTATTTCCCCCCACCGAAACTCCCGTACCCCCTTCAGCTTTGTTTTGCGTAGGGCCAGGACATCCAACTTCTTTTCATTCATAACATCAGCAATCATCTGTTTCTTGTCATCCGCACTACATCCACGCACATTCAAGCATCCCAGTTTTATAAAGTTTTTCTTCTTCTCTTTTTTAGTAAATGTCTACAGGAGAAGGGGTTACTAGCCCATTGCTCCCAGCATTTTAGTTGCCTCATACGACACGCATGGCTTACGGAGGAAAGATTCTTTTCCACTTCCCCATGGACAATAGAAGAAATAAAGAAGAACAAGAGCTATTTAGAAAAAGGAGAAAAACCTAGATGTATGTATATATATATGCATGTGCGTGTCTGTGAAGTGTGACCAAAGTGTAAGTAGGAGTAGCAAGATATCCCTGTTTTCCAGCGTGTTTATGAGACAGAAAAAGAAACCAGCAATCCTACCATAATGCAAAACAGTTACAGGTTTCTGTTTCACAGTCATCTGGCAGGACGGTAGTACTTCCCTGGGTGGTTGCTGTCTACCAACCTACTACCTACCTATTGAAGATATAGGCCTTATAAAATAACCAAAGGAAATACAGTGGACCCCTGCTTAACGATCACCTCCCAATGCGACCAATTATGTAAGTGTATTTATGTAAGTGCGTTTGTACGTGTATGTTTGGGGGTCTGAAATGGACTAATCTTCTTCACAATATTCCTTATGGGAACAAATTTGGTCAGTACTGGCACCTGAACATACTTCTGGAATGAAAAAATATCGTTAACCGGGGGTCCACTGTAATGTACTGATAGCAGATATAAATAACATGTTGCACCAGTGTTTTGAATTCAGTTTTTTATTACCAGCAGCTGTAATTAATATTTTGTCTTATTTTCAGATAAATATTGAAGATCTAAAGAAAATTGTTCCCACTCACCACTGTGATCTGATGCCAGAGGATGGCTCAATTGATATTTCAACACTCAGCCTGTAAGTTCTTGTTAAAGATATGTACTTATTTTCTTTCAAGTTGGTCCATTGTTATTCTTGCAATGATGTATGTTTGATGTAGACTCACAAGAAGTGACATGGTGGTTGCATTTCTGAATGTTAGCATGCATTGTAAAAACACTATACAAATGGAATAAAATAACATAGGGAAAATTGGATTTTGTTCTTAACATTTCACATATGATAAACCTCCCAAAAACATTTTAAAGTACTAGGCTATAATCTTCTTTCAACACTCAGGCTGCATCCCACCCAGGCAAGCTGACCTAAAAAGAAAAACTAAAGTTTTTCATTTTAGGTCTTTTTTAAATTTAGTAATTTATACAGGAGAAGGGGTTTCTAACCCCTTGCTCGCTAGGCTATTAGTGAACAAAATTTTTTAAAAATTTGACTCGGTAGCTTTGACTCTGAAGCTTTCTAAAATTAGTTATGGAATTATACAGTTTGCTCAGTTTTTTTTTTTTTTTTTTAACACATCGGCCGTTTCCCACCGAGGAAGGGTGACCCAAAGAGAAAGATAGGAAAAAAACTTATATCATTCAACACTTTCACTATCACTTATACATAATCACTGTCTTTGCAGACGCTTTCGGATATGACAGTTTAGATGTCCCTTCAAACTGCTAATATCCCAGACCCCTCCTTTAAGGTGCAGGCATTGTATGTCCCATTTCCAGGACTCAAGTCCAGCTGACCGGTTTCCCTGAATCCACACTATTTTTTTTTTTATATTATTAACACACTGGCCGACTCTCACCAAGGCAGGGTGGCCCGAAAAAGAGAAGCCTTCACCATCATTCACACCATCACTGTCTTGCCAGAAGGGTGTTTTACACTACAGTTTTTAAACTGCAGCATTAACACCCCTCCTTCAGAGTGCAGGCACCGTACTTCCCATCTCCAGGACTCAAGTCCGGCCTGCCGGTTTCCTTGAATCTCTTCATAAATGTTACCTTGCTCACACTCCAACAGCATGTCAAGTACCAAAAACCACCATTCACTCCTATCAAACATGCTCACGCATCCCCACTGGAAGTCCAAGCCCCTCGCACGCAAAACCTCCTTTACCGCCTCCCTTCAACCTTTCCTAGGCCGACCCCTACCCCGCCTTCCTTCCGCTACAGACTGATACATTCTTGAAGTCATTCTGTTTCGCTACATTCTCTCTACATGTCCGAACCACCTCAACAATCCTTCCTCAGCCCTCTGGACAACAGTTTTGGCAATCCCGCACCTCCTTCTAACTTCCAAACTACTAATTCTCTGCATTATATTCAAACCACACATTGCCCTCAGACATGACATCTGCACTGCCTCCAGCCTTCTTGCTGCAACATTCATCGCCCATGCTTCACACCCATATAAGAGCGTTGGTAAAACTATACTCTCATACATTCCCCTCTTTGCCTCCAAGGACAAAGTTCTTTGTCTCCACAGACTCAGACTCCTAAGTGCACCGCTCACCCTTTTCCCCTCATCAATTCTATGATTCACCTCATCCTTCATAGACCCATCCGCTGACACGTCCACTCCCAAATATCTGAATACATTCACCTCCTCCATACTCTCTCCCTCCAATCTGATATCCAATCTTTCATCGCCCAATCTTTTTGTTATCCTCATAACCTTACTCTTTCCTGTATTCACTATTAATTTTCTTCTTTTGCATACCCTACCAAATTCATCCACCAACCTCAGCAACTTCTCTTCAGAACCTCCCAAGAGCACAGTGTCATCAGCAAAGAGCAACTGTAACAACTCCCACTTTGTGTGATTCTTCATCTTTTAACTCCACACCTCTTGCCAAGACCCTCACATTTACTTCTCTTTAAACCCCATCTATAAATATATTAAACAACCACGGTGACATCGCACAATATTACCCTGCTCATATTCCAAAAGCTCATCAGGTCCCAAAAACTATTTGTCTCCACTCACTTCTATCTTACACACTCACGCTCAGTTGTAGCTCCAAAAAATAATATATGTACTGTAGTTTCAATATTTTTTTTTAGCGGTCAGGTTTTTTTTCAGCAAACTGGCCATATCCCACTGATCTAGGGTGACCTAAAAAGTAAAACGAAAGTTTCTCTTTTTAAATTCAGTAATGTATACAGGAGAAGGGGTTTGTAGCACCTTGCTCCTGGCATTTTATTTGCCTCTTACGACATGCATGGCTTACGGAGGAAGAGTTCTGTTCCACTTCCCCATGGAGAACACGTGCATGTACATACATACACAGTGGTCCCTCATTTATCGTCGTTGATCCATTCCTGGAAGTGCGACGATTATCGAAATAGATGATTTTCGAATCAATTTTCCCCATAAAAAATAATGTAAATACAATTAATCCGTTCCTGACACCCAGAAGTAGTAAAACAAAAATTTTTTTTACATGAAATATAGATGTTGTACATAAACAATACAATGGAACATGATGAATGAAACATTAACAACATAACACTTACCGTTATTGGTGATTCTTCTTAGTATATGGAAGACTGGAGGAGGAGAGAGATTGGATTAGTTACTGTTTGGAAGGGGAATCCCCTTCCATCAACACCTCAGGTACCAAGTGCTTTTCTGGGGTTACTTCTCTTCTCTGTTTCTTAATGCCACTAGGACCAGCTTGAGAGTCACTGGAGTCCTGTCTCACAAAAAAAAGTGTCCAGAGAGCTCTGTTTCTGGCGTCTCTTTAAAACTTCCCTAAAATGGGCCAAGACTCTGTCACTGTACAAGTTGCCGATATGGCTGGCAACATCCTTCTCAGGGTGATGTTTCTCCATATATCTTTCCATCCTTCCCCACATTTCACCATGCCTTATCACACTGTGTATGCCACTACGCTTCTTAAATCTCTCAAACCAACCTTTGCTGGCCTTAAATTCACAATTATCAGTACTCGTTGCAGGCAGTTTCTTTACCAGATCGTCATGCAACTGCCTAGCCTTTTCACAAATAATCGACGTCATAAGACTATCTCCTGCTAGTTGTTTCTCGTTTTTTTTTTTTTTTTTTTTTTAACAAGTTGGCCATCTCCCACCAAGGCAGGATGACCCAAAAAGAAAATACTTTTATCATCATTCAACACTTTCACCTCACTCACACATAATCACTGTTTTTGCAGAGGTGCTCAGAACACAACATTTTAGAAGCATATACGTATAAAGATACACAACATACATATATTATTTATATTAACACACTGGCCAATTCCCACCAAGGCAAGTTGGCCTGAAAAACAAAACTTTCACCATCATTCACTCCATCACTGTCTTGCCAGAAAGGTGGTTTACACTACAGTTTTTAAACTGCAACATTAACACCCCTCCTTCAGAGTGCAGGCACTGTACTTCCCATCTCCAGGACTCAAGTTCGGCCTGCTGGTTTCCCTGAATCCCTTCAGAAATGATGCTTTGCTCACACTCCAACAGCACGTCAAGTATTAAAAACCATTTGTCTCCATTCACTCCTATCAAACACGTTCACACATGCCTGCTGGAAGTCTAAGCCCCTCGCACACAAAACCTCCTTTACCCCCTCCCTCCAACCTTTCCTAGGCCGACCCCTACCCCGCCTTTCTTCCACTACAGACTGATACACTCTTGAAGTCATTCTGTTTCGCTCCATTTTCTCTACATGTCCGAACCACCTCAACAACCCTTCCTCAGCCTCTGGACAACAGTTTTGGTAATCCCGCACCTCCTCCTAACTTCCAAACTACGAATTCTCTGCATTATATTCACACCACACATTGCCCTCAAGACATGACATCTCCACTGCCTCCAGCCTTCTCCTCGCTGTAACATTCATCATCTATGCTTCACACCCATATAAGAGCGTTGGTAAAACTATACTCTCATACATTTCCCTCTTTGCCTCCAAGGACAAAGTTCTTTGTCTCCACAGACTCCTAAGTGCACCACTCACCCTTTTCCCCTCATCAATTCTATGATTCACCTCATCCTTCATAGACCCATCCACTGACACGTCCACTCCCAAATATCTGAATACATTCACCTCCTCCATACTCTCTCCCTCCAATCTGATATCCAGTCTTTCATCACCCAATCTTTTTGTTATCCTCATAACCTTACTCTTTCCTTTATTTACTATTAATTTTCTTCTTTTGCATACCCTACCAAATTCATCCACCAACCTCAGCAACTTCTCTTCAGAATCTCCCAAGAGCACAGTGTCATCAGCAAAGAGCAACTGTGACAACTCCCACTTTATGTGTGATTCTTTATCTTTTAACTCCACGCCTCTTGCCTAGACCCTCGCATTTACTTCTCTTACAACCCCATCTATAAATATATTAAACAACCACGGTGACATCACACATCCTTGTCTAAGGCCTACTTTTACTGGGAAATAATTTCCCTCTTTCCTACATACTCTAACTTGAGCCTCATTATCCTCGTAAAAACTCTTCACTGCTTTCAGTAACCTACCTCCTACACCATACACCTGCAACATCTGCCACATTGCACCCCCTATCCACCCTGTCATATGTTTTATTCTTCATGTATAATTTTTTTCTGTGTAGGTAAATGTATATTGCACGTAGAAAACATTTTTTTAATACTTTTGGGTGTCTGAAATGGATTAACCCTTTGAGGGTCCATGCCGTAGATCTACGGCTTTACGGTGAGGGTCCAAACCGTAGATCTACGTCATGAGCTCAGCTCACTCTGATAAGCTGTGAGCAGTAAATTTTGGCCTAGATATGAGAGAATACATCTATGTGGTATGTGTGCACCACATAAAACAAATCCTGCAACACACAGTGCATAATGAGAAAAAACTGAGACCATAATTTTCTATTAAAACAGCGACTTTGCAGTGTTTTTTCATGTTTTTATAGTTGTATTTGCACTTTCTTGGTCTCATTTGATAGAATGGAAGATATATTACAGAAATAGAGATAATTTTGGTTGGTTTTAGTAATGGAAATGGCTTGAAACTGAGCTCTAAGT